CAAAGTAATTAGTAAGTATTCATTCATTGGAGTTTGAATCTACTTCTTCGTCAACAAAACAATTGACAATCATATATTTTTTTAGGTTGTCAAAAGTAAATCGACGTCGATTAGGACGCAATATGTTTTTATAGCGGCTAAAGGATCTTTCCACGTCAACGGAAGTTTCCTATAGGAGCAAATTTAAAAGCCCCTAATTCTGCAATACTAAATGCATGACAACATGCATCACAGTATAAAATATTCGAATCGTTACGAAATGTTTCGTTCGGAAAATCTCGCACGTACCTCATTACGAGGTCTCTTTTTTTAGGAGCAACTTTCGGCATTTTCGATTAAACACAGTGATATAAGAATATAACTATATTAATATAATAAAATAATATTATACAATCAAAAACTAAAAAGACTCAACAAATACGAAAAACACAAGGACACACGGACACCTCTCCAATGACTAAACAACAAATAACGAAATTAAATTCACTTTTATCGAAACGTGTATAGCGATAACTGGGTCGATAATGTGTGGACTATGGACTAATAGTCGCAACTTGCGATTATAATATTTGCACACGCACGGACTGGAGAAGATAACTACTCATTATATAAAACGGCGATACATTACTAATTCTGTAAATAGCTCAATATTTAACAAAAATATGTAATATCAGTAAAATATGTAAAAATATGTAATTTAGATTAAATATGTAAGAATATGTAATATCAACCATGGCTTAAAATAATCAGATAGTCCTGTAACATATTTCTGTAAAGGAATCATTCAAATATTATCATTCACGACAAATATGTAAATACATACAAATCCGCACCCTAGTTATAACTTAATTATTTAGCTGAAACTAAATCAAGAAAATAAAATAAAGAGCTTATATTTTCATTTTATTTACCTTTATGTAGGTACTTCTATAGAACCCTGCAGTCTACTATATTATATTTATTTTAACTAACAGCAGTCATTGCCATCAATGTTAAATAGGAACAATAGAAAAATAAAAAAAWTTTGTTAGTTTACAAAATCTATATACCTAGTACTTTTTTTTTATAATATACTAAAATGTACCTAATCAATTAATTAAATTATATGTGGAGTAGCTATTTTTTCAAATCTAAATTTACATTGTTTTTCACACATAATATTTAGGTACCTATTTTAAGTATTTAAGTAATATATAATATAGATATTCTGATATTCAATGTTCATAAACTAATGACACAAAATATATCAGGTTTTTACATCTTATTTTATCAACATTATATAAGTAGGTATAATTATTTTAAAAGCTATAATTTATTAACCAATCAATCTCTGTAGTTTTGTCTACACAAATATTAATATATTTTTATTTTTATTACCTACTTATAAATATTATATTTTAATTGTATACTGATGATAAATAAAACAACCTATATACCTTGTTAAAAACATTTTGGTAAAAAATAAAATATATTACTGCAAACAAACAATAATCATTTACTAAAATATAAAATATTTACAACTACTACCTTGATATATAAAAATGTTTCATCCTAATGTTAAAATAGAAAGTAAATACAAAATATTAAGATGGATACACTTAATTAATCCCTTTCTACCACACTTTAATAAAATACCCTTTTTTTTTACTGAATATATATATAATTAGTTAAGACCATAGAATATTGATAGTATGGTATAATCATATTAAATATTTATATGCTATTTTTACTATTTTTAAGCTGAGTGGTTTCTACAAAATCCTCTATACTTTAAGTAATCGCACCAGAAATGGGATCAAAATAATGTTCAGTATCCATACAATCATATACAATATCATTTTAATATAGGTATTATTGGTATTTATTATATATTTATCAGATACCTTACTGAAGCACGATGGAAAGAAATGCATTTGAATATTGTGTAACTTAACCGATTTATTTTAAAGTACTATCTAAAAACATTTTTATGTACTAGTAAATAAGGTGTACAATTTTAATATTTTAGTAGATAATTATAATTTTTTTATAGTAATATTTTAAATAGATAAAATTATTTATGTTTACGAAATTGTTTTTAATTTTATACATTTACCATTGATCTTAATAATATATATATATTACTATTTTAAAATACTTATAACTTGTTTCAAAATTTATTGGAATATAGTAAAAATAAAGTCCATGAGATCGTCTAAATAATATTCTAAACTTTAAATTTTATAAGAGGTCAATTCACTCTTACTTTTAAACTAAGAGAGCAAAGCGTGATCTGATGAGTATAAAATTTCCTATATTATGCACTTGTAAGACGGAGACAATGCATAGGTGCGGGTATTACAATATTCTTGAATGAAAACTACCAAATTAATCATTTTTCTTTGGATTTAGAAGAAGTCTGATTAAATAGGTAAAATTTACAGATACACTATTCAACTTTTATAAATACCATGCAGTACTATACCTGTAAAAATATTGCCTATATAATAAAGTACCTATATTGTATTGTAATTATGAATTATTGGGTATTTAATTATTAATTTGTTGTTTACCTACTTCAACTTGTATAAGCAGGCGCGGATCCAGAAAAATTTAACAGGAGGTGCTCAAAAAAAAAAAAATTGTTACACCTTACTATTTATTTAAATATTATCATTTACTATTTGATTTATTAGTGCTAACTTTTTTTCCATAATAATTGTTATCGGACCTTTCCGCCGCCGACGCGTATGTTGTTACATACGAGTATACTTCGAAAGCAATTAACAATAATAGTTATTAATTTATTATTGTCGTATGTGACAGTGATAACGAAAAGCACCGATATTATTATTATTATTTTTATTTTGAAAAATAACAAATAATTTAATTTATAACATAAATTTATTTTGTTGGTGGCTAAATTACAGGGGGTGCCCGAGCACCCATAGCCCCCCTGAATCCGCACCTGTGTATAAGGTAATTAGCCAATATTTAACAAATTTAATAATTTTTAATATTTACTTCAAATACAAAGAGTACCWTGATGTTGTTAGAAATATTTAATTTAAGACAATTAAAAAATATTTGAAAGCTTTTCTTTTAGTGGTTAAATTTATCATATTGTGATATTTACCAAAATTGTATAATCTAGAATGAATATTTTAATTTTCTTTGTTTAAATTTAAATAGACATATACACCTAGTAGATAGTAGGTAGGTGCCTACTAAAATAGTAACCAATAGGTGATAGGTGTAGCCGTGTAGGTAAGGTACCTACCTAATAAATTCAAACTCAATTCAGACGGTTAGTAGGTATAAAATAAAAAAAAACACTTAATCTTTAAACATATTCATTTATCAACATTTACGAGTACCTACACACATTGTAATCTATTATAGTGAATTGTAATAGGTACTCCACTGGATTTTTTAGGTAGGTTATATTATTATTAACCTATTTATTTTTTTAAGTATAATTTTTAATATAATATTATGCTGATTACATTTATACAATATAATATATAATATGTATAAAATAATATTAATTATCATAAATAGTTTTATGGTTTTATAACTTTTCAACCTTCAGATTAGTAGGTGATTCAAACTAAGAGTTACAACATATCTCAATATCATTTATAAGCTAAAAATTAATTTTAATATTTATATATTACCATTTTATACGATTATTTTATATCATCAATTTTTTTAGATTATAAATTTTTATTTGAAAAATGAAATTTATATTTTGTGTGTTATGGCTTTTTGTGTGGATGAGTTCACAAGCCAATAGTATGAAAAACATTCTTATTGGTTTAGGAGAACCAAATTCACCACCATCATTGAGAACAATGAACACTGAAGACGAATGGTTTATACAAAAATTAGATCATTTTAATCCTACTGATAAAAGAACGTGGAAACAGGTAAATTAAAGAAATATAAACATAATATGAAATGATTATTAGAATAATTCAACATCCAAAATAAACATAATTTTGATAAATTATGTCTAGAGRTATCAAGTAAATTTGGAAAATTATAAAAATGATGGACCCGTGTTTTTGATGATTGGAGGAGAAGGATCAATTTCAGCTAAATGGATGCAGAGTGGAGCCTGGATTGATTACGCTAAAGAATTTAATGCCTTATGTTTTCAACTGGAACATCGGTTCTATGGTGAAAGTCAACCAACCGAGTAAGAATAATAATAAAATATAAATCAATGCTTTTTTTTTGGTATTTTTATCATATCTATAATGTCTTCAATGTATAATATACGATATATTATAGTGATTATACTATACATTTATACATAAATAATATAATATGTATAAAATATTATAAAATGTCATATGTTTATGAATAGTTCTACACGAGTCAAAATATTTTGAAAATGTTACGGGGTATGTAAAATACTAATTTAAAATATATTTTTATTTAATTTTCATCCATCTATAGTAACTTTTTTAGTCAAACCAAAACCAAACCAAAATAAATTTTGTCGAAATCTAATTTTGCCGTAAAAATTCCAGTTTTTCAATATTTTAGATCCTAGGTGGAGCAATGAATGTATTGGTTTTACAATAATTGTGACCGTGTACACAATAAGTATAATGTAACACGTTTTTGGAATAATGCTTCATRTTMAAATTAAGTAGCTTTTCCGGTTAGAAAGTGAATCTAGTTGGTGCTTTATTAGGCCTTAGGGATCACTTAACATTTTCAATCTTTTTTTTTATAAATAACAATAAAATTGTATTCATAAGAAAAAAAAGCTTCAAAATTTAATACAAGGTTCCTAATATATYGTCACAATGGTAGTTAACAAATATTAAAAATACATAGGTAGTCACAATTTTTTTAATAAGCATTTAAAGTTCGWATTTCGATAAAATATGTAAAGATCACGTAACAATATTGGATATTCACTATTAATATCTTTTATACTGATATTTTTATTTTGTTGTTATTCAAAAACTAATAACTTGAAATTTGCACCAAATGCTTATATTTTATCAATTCCTATAATTATTGATAAAATTTTCAAAATATTTCAACTATTTTTAAGTTATTTATAGACAAATACAATTTAACTCATTGAGTCAATAAACTTGAAAATTTAATACATAGTTCCCCAAAAGTTGATATAATAGCAGCTGGAAAATATTAAAAATACATGGGCATGTTTTTTTTCTTTATAACCATTTAAAGTTCGAATTTTGAGAAAAAATTTTTAGTTTAAAATTTACAAATTCTTTATAGTTGTTAAAAATGTATAAAACGCTTAACTTATTATATAATATAATATATAATATATAATCATATATATAATATATATGTATATAA